GCGTCCAGAAACAGACTCGAACATATGTGACTAATACTGTTTTCAACAAAGGTAATTCAGGGGGGGGAAAGATGAATCTTTTCAATAAATGGGGCACGAACAATTAGATATCCATATACAAGGAACGTTTATAGATCCTCACCTCACACCATACATAAAAATTAACTGAAAATGGATCACACACCTAATTATAAAAGCTAAACCTATAAAACTTCCAAGACGGGAGACTTCTTAGGGAGTTCTAGTTAGGCAACGGTTTCTTAAAAAGAATACACGAACGTGACCTACTAAAAGAAAAAAAAATTGATCAACTGAACTTCAACAAAATTAAAAAAAACATTTTGCTCTCCAAAATGAAAATAAAGAATAATAAAATGAAAAGGCAAGCCACACACAGGGAAGAAAATTTTTAAAAACAAGTATTTGATAAAGGACTTGTATCCACAATACATACAAAACTCTTAAACTTGATAAGAAACTAACAGGCCACTCCTTCCCCCCTAAAAATAATGGGCAAGAGACTTAAACACATACGATGGCAAAAAGGTACATTAAAATATAAACACCATTAATCAATAGGTAAATGCAAATAAAAACCACAATGAGACATCACTACATACCCAATAGAATAGCTAAAATTTAAGTGGTGGACAATGATGCCCAGTGTGGCCAGGATGTGTGGCAAATTGGGGCTCTCCTACGTTGCTGGCAGGAATACAAAATGTTATAGCCACTTGGGAAAACAGTTTGGCATACTATACACATGAGCTAGCAATTTCATTCAGACTCAAATGTTCACAGCAACATTATTCATCATAGCTCCAAACTGGAGACCCAATAACCATCACCTGGCGAATGGATATCCGTACAATGCGATTCCACTTAGTAATAAAAAGGAACAAACTGCAAACACAACACAAATGACTCTCAATAGCACCATGCTCTCTGAAAGAATCCCGACGCGAAAGACTACATGCAGGACTGTTCAATTTATAGGAACTCATAGAAAAAACTAAAGTGACGGAAAGCAAATTAGTGGCTGCCAGAAGCTAGAGGCTCAGGGCAGGGCACTGCCTGCAAAGGATCACAGAACTTTTCCGGTGACAGAGATGTTCTATACAGTGATTGTGGAGGTGGTTGGACTAATGTATACGTCTGTCAGAATTCTGGTTTTGTGCATCTAAATTTGATATATTTATCATATGTAAATACACCCCAATAACGCTTACAAAAAGAAAAAGGAAACACACACTTTACTTCCACGCCAGTGCTAAACCCGACAGCCCACCACACAGGGACCTCCTGGCAACGGAGCTGGAAGGATCTGTGTCGGTCCAGTACCTGCTGCTGCAGAGCCCGATCTGCACGGAGCCTCCTTGTGAAGTGACGCTGCGGACAGGTCGCTGGCAGTAAAACCACAGTTCTTCTTCCCACCGTTGCCTGTAACGCACTGCTAGAAAGGACACGAAAAAAATTAACATCTCAAGCAATTTTCCAAAGGAACTAGGAGATCCGCAACTCCACGTGTTAAACAGAATAAAATGAACAGCTATGACTGAGAAGTGAGGCATTTTTCAGCCTGTCGCCTTTGCACATAATATTAGATACTACACGCCGCAGACGAATAGGTGCGTACTTTGCTTCTTTTGCCAGTTAGAAAATACACATGGAGCACTTCATATGCTCTAAGCAGTGTTCTAAATGCTAGGAACATAATAGCGAGCAACACAAAGTCCCAGCTATCCTGGAGCTTATACAGAAGAACTACACAAATACTCCTTCGTCCCATCCTCAGAATGAACTATGCCATCTTTCAAATAAGCAGACACAGGCAGAGCTAGGTTAAAGACCTGGGCTGAGCTAAGCCACCTAACAAGTGACGGGGCTGGGCTTTGAACCCACATCTGATTTCACAGCCCAGGTTTTGCTCACAGGGATACACTGCCTGCACTAATATCAGGCTTTCAAAATTGAGCAGTTTTTCTGGCTTTGGATCATTTGTAAAAAAGTGGGGGTGGGGAAGGGCTTTAATACCTTGAAGGGGAGACTAGAGGAAAACTCTGTGTAAATATTCACAGCCCTCTTGGGTCCTATACCTAAATACAGGAATGTCACATTCCAAAGTTCAATCCATCATCTCAGAACGCCTTTTCAGGTCGAGGGATGAAAAGTTAAAGGAAACTGTACGAATGTGAAACTCTAAACTGTCTGCTTTACCAGAAGTCCTGAGGACAAGTGGCTCCTACCTCTAGAGCCACATGTAACCACTGTCCTACAGCATGCCCAAAAGGGCAAAACTGCTAAACTCCTGTCTTACCAGACCACGTCCCTGTTGCAGGTAAGAAAATACATTTTAAAGGCGATGAACAAACTAAGTTTAGTGCCTGGATGTCATATTTTAAGGGGGGCTTAGTTCATGTAGAACATTTGGAAGACAGCACTTTGGGAACAACCTCTCAAAGCAGCTAAGAAACCAGGACACAGCAGATTTTGCCCTTCCTGCTTCTGAAATGGAGTCAGGGACATCGTGCATGCTCTGCGGGACAGCGGTCCCACCCGCCTGAAGGCAGGGAGCCCAGTCTCCCTCTGACTTACACACTGTGTGTGGGGGCCAGCGGGCTCCCGGGCCCCGGGCGCGACCTCCCCGAGGAAGCTCAGCTGCAGCGGGGAGCTGGTCCCTGAGGGGACGGACAGGCGCCCCTCACTCCGGGTCTCCTCTGGGCCCCTGGGTCTGCTGTGGTCGATCACCGAAAACGGAGGTTCCTGGTTCGCGGCTGCTGCCGACACCAAGCAGGGTGTTATGGAGGAGTCCGCCGCTCCCAGGAATGGGGTGCACGACGGAGCCAACAGAGGCCAGATGGGGGGGTCAGGCAAGAAAACGGTCACAAAGGCCTCCGGGTACGCAGCCGGGAGAGCGGGCGCGGCCGGCACGAGGCAGGGTGCCGGGCTGGGCACCAGCACCGCGGCTGGGAACGACAGGCCGGGGGCGGGGGTGGCAGCAGGCCACCAGGGCTGTGCGTCCTGGACCCGAGCTGTCAAGTGGGGACAGCAAGCGTCCCGCGCACTACAGCTGTCCGTGGGCAGCAGCTTCTTCCGCTTGTGCTTCCCCTTCCTGCCAGCAGCCGAGCGACTCTGCTTGGAGGTGGACTCCCCTGAAAAGACAAAGAGAGGCCTGTGAGGAAGCCAAACCCCGTGGGAAGAGAAGGGTGCCACTCACAGGTGATCCAGGGAGACTGGACAGGACTCAACATCCCAAAGACTGACTGTGCCTACGCAGGGGGGCAAAGAGTAGCTTTGAAAAGATGAGCAAGGTCCCGGATGAAAGTTGTTGCTATACAGGACACTTATTTCAGCACCTCTTAGCCAGCTGCTTATAAACTCAGCTTCTCGGATCTAAAAAACCCCCCAGATAACAAACTGTCGGAGTGATTTCAGCATCTCTCAATCAGTTCCATACGAGCACTCGGTATCTCCCAGGACTGACACAGGCTTTATGAAACTGACAGCTATGGAATAAATAGAATATATATTTTAAAATGTAACTACCTTGAATATATGAATATTTAGCTTTGCCTCTGCCTTCTTGCTGAAGGTAGGAGCTGTAGGGTGGTGACAGGATCTTTTCCCGAAATTTATCCACGTAATTCTGTTCTTCCTTCTGGGTGTGGGCGGAAAGGACGGCCTTGGTGAGCCCCACACGTCTGAACTCGTCGGGGGTCAGTGGGGCTGGGTGCACGCTGGGTGGCCAGGCCTCACAGGCTAGGATGGTGTCCTCTGTGAGTGTCAACTCTGCTGAGGTGGAAGAGGACAGATTTTAATACCTACCAACTAGCTGCACTTATTTATTTTCACCAATGTATCTGCCTTTCAATAAATTTTACAAACGTTATTACAACAGCTGGAATATAAGAAACTTCATCAACTTAGTACAAAAATTCTTATTTTTCCACCTTTCCTTATACTTTGTATGTACATTGTATATACATTTTACAGAGCTATAATATTCAATGTGCATACTTATGTACTTGTTTAAATCTTTCCTTTATTGTAAATATTTTTTCTATCTCTCTGAATTCTTTAACATTTTTTTTTAAATCTCCGAATATGTAATATGTGGTTCAAAAATCAGTAAGCATTAAAAAGGTAGTTAGCATATTCTCATCCTGTCCACTATCTGCCCAGTTCCCATCTATTCTCCCCAGAGATATTTGTAGTTTCTTTATGCACCTTTAAAAATAAGCATGAATATAGCTTCATGTTCCCCTCCCCTATTTTTACCCAAAAGGCATATAATATGTACACTAGCCTGCAATATGTTTTTTATTTTATAATATCCCTTTTATCAGTACATAGTTGTCTCATACTTTCTTATACCACGTAGGTTTCAATTTCGTTTACATGCCACCGGTTATTAAAGTAAGCATCTGTAGCTGGGCTCTGAGTTGCATCTAAAACATTATTTCCTCCAAGTACGAAAGATTTTATGGTGAACACTGGTGGGTTCCCCCAACATCCATTCCACCTCTCCCCTGCTGTGCAGTATCCCAGCAGTATGGGTGGTCCCGGCCTCACTCTGCTTCCTGAAGGGGGATCTGATTAGTCTATACCAGCACAGCTAACAGAGGACTTCTCATTCTGGCCAAGATGGAGTAACAGGGGCTGAATTCACCTTTCTGCATGAAACAACTAAAAAAATGAACAAAATATAAGCAGCAATAAGTTTCAAGACACTGAACATCAGGTAACAAAGGAGAGTGATCCCTGAGGGACAGAAACAAATGCAGTGAGCCCGAGGACTGCCCTGGCTAGAGAAGATGGCACCCACACTGTCAACTAGCCTGACCTACTTTGCACTGACAGAACCGTCAACTCAACAGCAGCAGAATAAACATTCTTTTCAAGTGCGTACAGAACATTTACCAAGACAGACCGCACTGCAGGCATAGAACAAGTCTCAATAAATTTAAAGGAATTCAAGTTTTGTGTGTTTTCTCTGACCACAATGGGATTAAAGGACAGAAATCAACAACAGAAAGAGGTCTGGCGAATCTCCAAATACATGGTAACTAAATAATATAACATAAAAAAATATAATTTCAAAGAGATATCAAAAGAGGCATTAGGCAGTATCTGAACCCAATGAAAATGAAATGCAATATATCAAAATGTGTGGGATGCAGCTAAAGATAAAAGAAAAAATTATACTAAAATCCATTAGGAAAGAAAAATGTCTGAAATCAGTAACTTCTGCTTCCATCTTAAGAAGCTGGAAGAGCAAGATAAACAAAAGCAAGCAGAAGAAAGGAAATACTGAAGAGTAGGAATCAGTAAAGCAGAAAACAATAAACAGAAAAATAAATTAAAAAGTCGATGAAATTATAAATTCTTTGAGAAGAACGATAAAATTGACCAAACTCTAGCCATACCAATCAGGAAAAAAAGAGAAAATACAAGTTACTAATTTCAGAAACTACAGAGGGGCCATCACGAGAGGCCTTACAGGTACCAAAAGACTAATAAAGGAACATTATGAGCAACTTTATCCCAATAAATTTGACAATTCAGACAAAATGGACCAGTTCTCTGAAAGAAACAAATTAACAAAGTTCATTCAATAAGAAGTAGACAAGCCAAATAACCCTATATCTATTAAATAAATTGAATATGTAGTAAAAACTTCTCCATCAAGAAAACTCCAAGCCCAGATGGCTTCACTGGTGAGTCTGAGCAGACATGTAAGGGAGAAATAACAGCAATTTTACATAAACTCATCTAGAAAACAAAAAGAGGAGGAAACACTTCCCAGTCATGCTGTGAGACCAGGTTCATCCTGGGACCAAAACCAGACAAGGCCATTGTAAGGAAAACAAACAGACAAAGCTACAGACCAAGAGCCCTAAACAGAGATCTAGGATCTTATGAGATTTTAGCAAAATGAATCCAATATGTAAAAAGGATATAATACATCATGACCAAGTATCATTTATTCCAGGAATCCAAAGACATTTTAACATTTAAATATCAATTCATGGACTGAAAAACTAAAAAAGAAAAACTTTATGATATCTCAGTAGATGCAAAGAGATTTGACAAAGTCCAACATTCATTTCTGATAAAAAAAAAAATTATCAGGAAATTAGGAACAGAAAGAAACTTACTCAGTTTCATAAAAGGCACCTATGAAAAACCTATAGCTCACATAATGTTCTCTCTCCAATCAGGAAAAACACAAGGATATCTGTTCTCACAACTTCTATTCAGTATTTATGGGAAGTTCTAACCAGCTAATAAGGCAAGAAAAATAAATACAAAAGATCCGGATTAGAAAGGAAGGAGTAAAACCGACTTTCACAGACATGACTGTATATAATTCCATGGCATCCATGAAAAGAGTTTAGTAAGGTTGTAGAATAAAAAATTAACAGGTAAAAATTGATTATATTTCTCTACGCTAGCGACAAAAGTCGGAAACTGACATTAAAAGGCAATCCTTTTTGTAATATGAAATAATCAGGGATAAAATTGACAAAAGATGTGCCAGATCAGCACACTGCAACCGCCAGACGCCACCGCAGGGAACTGAAGGGCATCGCGTAAATGGACAGATGGACACGCTCACGTTCTGGACGGCTCTGTACTTTGAGATGTCAATTCTCCCCAAAGTGACGCACAGATTCAACATGATCCCAATCACATTCCCTGCAGGATTAGTTTTAAAAGACACTGAGAAACTGATTCTACAGTTTATATGGATAAAAGACCTAGAATATTCAAAGCCATCTTGTAAAAGAACAAAGTTGCCGGATTTTCACGACCCGACTGCAAGACTCAGTACAAAGCTACAGGAATCAGACGACGTGGAACGGGCAGGAAGGACTGATCAGTTTCGTTCGTCTTCTCAGGGAACCAACTTCTCGCTTTAATTTTCTCTACTGTCTGTGTGTATTTCGATTCCTGCTTTTCCCTTTATTCTTCCTCCCTCCTGCCCTGGGTTTCCTTTGCTCTTTTTTTGCTAGCTTCTTAAACCGGAACTCAGCCTCACTGACTGGAGACATTTCTTCTCTAACATTAGCATTTCAAGCTCTTAGTCTCCTGATAAGCCCCGTTTTCATGGTGTCCACAATGTCTGGTATGCTGTGCTTCTATTACCACTGATTTTGAAATATTTTTCAATACTCTTGTGATTTCTTTTCTGAATCATGAATTATTTAGAAATGTGTTATTTAGCTTTTAAATGTTTAGGTTTAAACATCTTATTGTTATTGATTTCTAACTGAATTAACCCGAATTGGGGAACACAACGTCAATTACTTTAAATCTGAGAATTACATTATAGCCCAACACAGTTTACCGGTGCAGGGAGGGCGTGTTAAATTCGCTGTGATTACGGAAGGACCATTTCTCTCCTTAACCCTTTCCACGTGTGCGTCCTATCCTGGAAGCTCCGCTGTTAACGACCACACATGCACGGCTGTTACGTCCTTGGACTGTTCTGTCGTCACGAAGGGCGGCTGGGAGGCCTGTCTCGAGGCCTGTGCTGCCGACGCAGGCACCACAGCCGCTTCCGCTCAGCTCCTTCCGCTCAGCTCGTCGTCTGGATCGTACTTCTCGCCCCGTCTGTTGTTCTCACCTCGTTTGTTCATTTACATTTCAGCCGTACTTGGCGGGCAGCATATAGTTGGGTCTTGATTTTTTTTGTTTTTCTGACAATTTCTGCCTTTTAATTGGTATTTAGTCCATTTTATGCAATTACTGATATAGTTAGATTTAGAGCCATTATTGGTGTGCTCTATTGTTTTTTGTTGTTGCTGTACTCTTCCCTTATACCCTTCTTTCTCGTTATTTGAGTATTTTTAAATGTTACATTTTAATTTATGCCTTGGTTTTTTTTAGCTAATTTTCGTATTTCACACTCTGTCTTGATCCTGCTATAGGTTCAAAAATATCCACAATGGCAAACGTTTCTGGAGAGTAACTGTCAATGTTTGACTCTATTCTGCCACTTGTCTGTTATGTGATGAGTTAAGTTACTTAACTCGTTTGTGCCTTAATGGTCCAAGTATAAAATGGAGAAAATGGGAAACGCATCCGTGCCCCCAGACCCTGCTCGCCGTTAGCCAGGGTGTGAACTGCGGGAACGGGGGCTGTCCACAAAGCAGGAGGCACAGACACCTGCAGCTGCGGCTGCAGCACGTCTAGGCCCTGATGCCGTTTTCCGTCCTCGGAATGAGGTGGCCTCACATGTGCTGAGACTAGTTTAAGGTCAGGAGAAATGGTTATCCGTAAATATCCTCTTAAATAAAAGTACACGGATGTCAGTATAAGTCCTTTCAAAACGGTAATACAAGACCACAGTATAAAAAGTGGAGTGGCAGAGTCAGAAAATGAGCTTTTTATGGTGGCTGAGACCCGACCTGGCCCGGGCTGTGTCACCACCGGCAGCTGCCTGCCGGCATAGGGCCACGGCAGTGCGGACATGTGTGCTGCTCCTGTCTTGAGGGGCCAACCCACGTCCCATAAAACTGTCCCTGGCTCAGCAACAGAATCCAATCTCGCGACAGCTGTGTCTCTGGCCTTTCCTGCCAACCCATGGCCCGCCTGTCAAACACTATGCTCTCCACCTTAAAGCGTGGTTGTGAGGGTTACACGTGCTAAATCCCTGTGGGGGACTAAGGACACTGATCGCACGCAGTGACAGCTCACCACTCATTAACCAACGTGCTGCCGAAGACTGGCAAAGGTGAATTAGGGATGATCCGGAAACATGACTTAATGCATTTGTCACCGTTTCTTCATCCACCAAATTGTTATAAGTAATGAAAAAGTTAAAAAGATAGGAGGCAGTAAAAAGGAATAAAAAGAAGGTATCGGAATAATTTCCCAGGTCATTCTGCTGTTAAACGACAAGTGTTTCAAACATCCTCCTCTTTTTTGCCATCAGAAGACGACGAACACGTCGGTGTATACATATGACCTACGCAGTCACAGCTACAGAGTTTGAAGCACTTATCTTCCTTTAAGGTCAGCAGCAAAGTGACACCTGCAATCATAGCGGCTAACACTAGCCAGCAGTTTGCCACTGCATGTCAGTGTTCTAAGCGCTTTACAGGTGTCAGATGATTTGATCAACAAATGACAGAGATACAGTCCAAAATATATGTGTGCAACCAAAATAAACATGATAATACTTCCAAAAATACTTTAACTGAATAAAAGACGACAGTATAATTTTGAAGTTGTTGCTAAGTAAATGGTACGTGACCTTTGCCTTTTCACAGGTGTGTTTAGTGTTGAATATACCGCCAAGGAAAAGGTAAATGTGGCACCTGACTCTGGGGGCGGGGCGTGCACAATGGTGCTGCTGTAGCTGCACTGGCTCACGCCGGAGCCCAGGCTCGGGGCTGCCGTGGACGGCGTCGGCGCAGCTCGTCCCTTGGCATCTGGGGGCGGTCCGTTAGGTGGTGGTTCCGATTTGGGTGCAGCTGGGATCTGAGGGTCTGCAGCTGGTGATGTAAGAGAAACTGAACATGAGAATAAAAATCCCCCACAGGACAGGACTTAAAAGAAAGTTCTGTGTGGATGAGTTAACAAAATTCGAGAGGAAGTAAATGTCACTTTATAACCAGTAGTAATACCGAGTTGGGGGGGCACTATGCAGGAAGGAACCTTCTGTAGAGACAGGCAGGGAAGAGC